AAGCTCTACCACCAAAAGAGACTAGTACTCCGAATAACTTCAAACTTATGTAGGAATTTGTTTCGATTAAACTGAACCCAACTTCGAATATCAATTTGAGAAGATTATGTGCATTATATTTTTCAACATCGATCAATAACCGTTGATTTCTACACTACTTGGTATTGATTTTATATATAAGACGTTGACACTCCAAATAGGTGGACTAAAAAGGTTTTGAATTGACTAGTAGTTAGCGCTTTATAAAAAATATGAAGTATGTCACGAATATAATAATGCACGAAACAATGCTGCTTCCATACTTCATAGTCAATTCAGTGAATGGTTAATATCTAAAAAGTCTTAATTAGATATCGTAAGAATTTTTGTACAATAACAGAACAATAAGAAAAAAAGTGCTATGAAATATCAATTAAATGCTATTAAACAATATAGTTTAAAGTGCGAATATATAAAAAGCAGTCTTAAAAGTAACGTTAAAATGTATGAGTATCTCATATATTTTTACAGTTTAATATATTTTTTCGAATACTTTTGAATTTTCTTGTTAATAGCTTTAGTATAAGATATTCCAGCTTAAATTTGGATTCTTTGTAGAAAGCATAATAAGGGCTATGTCATGTAATATCTTATTAGTCAGTGAAAATATTAATTATCATCATTTTATTTATAGTTATTGACTTCTTATTAAAAGAAATAAGCGACTGATGTAAAAAATAATGTTAAAAATTATTTTATCTATTTTAGACTAAAAGCAAACCCATCAAATGTTCCTACTCACAGCACTCCACATTAATAGATTTTCTTTGTAGATTTCAATTTGAATAACCCAAAAATTTCTAATTTTTTCTGTGTTCGGTTGAATATATGCCAAATGTTTTAATTATATAACTGAGACTAATACTTTTCCCTTTTGATACCTAGAACTTTCAAATCCTTCAACGCCACTGAACCTCGATTATAAGATAATTTGTTTGCTCATTAGAAGACACAAATGGTAATAAAGTATCTCAAAGTCTCTAACGATGTTTTCAGCATACATAAATTTCAGCATGTGTACATATTTACCATATGTAGTTCAGAGATATATACATATATATATAAATGTAAATACCTTAATCTATGTAATAGTAAAAAGTGTTGGAATAAACGTAAAACAAAAGACTAAACAATCCGTGAAATTATTTACGTAGATTATCTGCTGCTTAGTTCTTTTATATATTCCACAAATTTCAGTTAAAATGTATTTACGGATATATATATATATGGATATCTGCAGATACCATATATGCGTTTATTCCTAAACCAATTTCGAAATAATGCGATTTATAAACACTACTAACTCAAAGGAGGCGTTAATTCGTTAATTGTTTCTGTCTAATCGAATTAAAATCAACAAAAACAATATTAACAAACGCAAGAACGCAAGAACGCACACATATCATATGCAAAATGTGAGTACGTAGGAGTGAATACATTTATGTAAAGATATATTCACACACACATATATATGCACAAGGATATATATCCTTGTATATACACACATATATTTGTACTTAAAAAGGTCCTGTGTGTGTTGTCTTTTGGTGTTTAATTAGAAAATTTTAAACTTTGAAAAGTTTTTACACACAAAGGCGCCATTTAAGGTGTGCGTTTCCGCCGGAAGCACTTGTGAAAACTTAATTATATGCAAATGTATGTATGCGTGCATGTGTTTGTAATATTATTTTATGTTCCTTCAACTGTTATTTTTGGTTTTAAAATTATTATGAATTGTTCTGATTGCGATTTGACACTTCAAAGTGAAAATTTGTGCCCTCAGAAAATTTAAGAGGAAGAAATACGTCGGAATGTTGCCAGATTAATTTTTCATTTTTATGGAAATATAGTATGAGATGAAATATATTTAATGGAAGCTACTAAAATGTATAGAACTCAGTATTAAAAAAAGGAAACACGTTGAAAATTATTTCAATTATTTATGTAAATTCATTAGTCTCTATTAATTTGCGAAAAAAAATTTTTAACCTGCTCTACGATAATATATTGTTAAACAATGCAAGACTATCATTTTAAGTTTGGAAAATAAAAAAGAAATCACAAGATCACTTATCTGAAAAATAGGTAATTACCACATTACAGTTACATTTCGTCAACATCTGGAAAACATTAGTAATAACCGTTTTTTTTTTAAATAAATCATATTTATATTTTTTAAACACACTCTGCAATAGTAACCCATTTATTGATAAACACAATCTGTTTACTTCTCACGTGGTTTTCCATATTAGACTATATGTATCTTTAATGCCCTCTCGATATATCTAAAAGCTTTTGTACCATTCATTAAATTATGATTATAAATTAATATCATTAGCCTTATTTATCAATTCGAATGATTTGTGGTTTTTAACACAAAAATTTTACAGAGAGGTTTTGAAAACTGGTGAACTACAACAACAAGAATTCTTTTCCTATATTATTTTAATTAATTTAATTTTTGGCTGACCATACAGCTGTTTCGAGTATGGCCAAATATCCATCATCAGTGATTTCGGAATTATTTCTTATATTTAAAAATAGTTTATATTAAGTAAAATAGTCACTTCCGTCATAACTAAGGTTAAATTGCAACTATGAAACAAAAATATTAAATACAAATCATAACTGTAAGAATAATTTAAAAATTTTTAAAAGTTTATTTCTAAATTTTATTTCACAAAAATTTCACAAAAATACTTGTATTCACGTGCTTTTATTAAATTTTTAGAATTCATGCAACCACAACATATCTGGCCTTATCTGCAACAGAACTTCATACATCACACACATTTTCCACATCCTGCATTTCTAACGCAAACCAACGGTAATAGTTGTCAACCGCAAGCCACATCGTCATCATCACCTGGTAGCACAATTAGTGATAGCGACAATCACTCCACCGGCACAATAACCAGTAGCAACAATAACACCAATAACAATAACAACAACGACTGCAGACCGCATGAAGGTGTTTTGCACAATGACAATAACACCATTGAGGATAATAACAATCGAAGACTTGTGCAAAGTCAACAGGATAAGCAACTTCTTACCCCACATCCAGCGCATACAGCACATCAAGTGATAGCTAAACCAATGCCCAGTCGACCTACACCCTTCCTGCCGCACAGTCTCAATCATCCACATTTGCATTCCCTGTTGGCGCATTGTCGAAATCCCTACATGAGCGGTAAGTACATATCTACATAGTTTGTGCAGTTAGACCTACACCAGCAAATGACTATACTAACCATAATGTATATTAGTCCTCTTCCCACCGCTTGCTCGTAATCTATTGTTGTTCCTGTGCTGCAGATTTTGCTATTTTTGTCAACCTGCCACACAGTTATAGAGATACGCATGCAACAATTAAAGCAATGCAACTGTAATTATTGCACTGCAGTTTAACATATATATGTATCCTTCCTGCATGCATGCATATCCCTTCCATTTCAGTCTGTTGACTCCGAATGCCTTTTGTTGCTCTTGTACTAACAAGTGCTTTCTCACGCATTGTTTCCGT